CTCAAGGACTACACACCATCCGCCGAATACCGACAACGCCTAAAGCAAATAACAGAAATCACGTCAAACCCGGATGATGAAGAGCCGACTCTCGCTGTGAAGAGCCACCCAATATGGAGGAATCCTTTATTCAAGCGACTGTTTACAGCACCCGAGGGAAACAACAACTTGGCGTTAATCAGGGTCCTGACGAATCACCAAGCTGCCCTCGAGATCGACTCGCCCAAAGGCCTCTTTCTTGCTGGAGAAGTGGGCCGGGGCAAGAGTCTCTTAATTGACATGCTCTACGAAGGTCTACCCACCCATCGTAAAAAGAGGTGGCACTTCAACACCTTTATGCTTTATTCATTCTCCCAACTCGAGGGATTCAGGCGATCTCATCCACAGCTGCAAGGCGGTGACCAGGAGTATTCGCTTTTATGGTTGGCCAAGAAACTCGTCGAGGAATCACCGATTCTCTTCCTCGACGAATTCCAGCTCCCCGACCGGGCTGCGAGTAAGATTCTGAGCCATCTGTTCATTGCTTTCTTCCAGCTGGGTGGCGTGTTGGTTGCGTCGTCGAACCGCGTGCCAGAGGAACTGCAGAAAGCCATCGGCGTTGAGTATACTCCTCCGCCAACAGGAGGTTTTATTAGGAGCTTCTTCGCCAGTCAAAAGGCGCGCGGGCGGGGTGAGCTCTTTGGACAGTCAAGCGACTTCGCAGCCTTCCTGGACGTGCTCAAAGCGCGATGTGACTTTTGGCACATGGAGGGGGCTACTGATTGGCGACGTCGTGAAGAACAACCTAGGGACCTTACTCAAGGGCCTCAAACAGCACTTGAGCGCGGCGAACTCGACAACATCGAGGCCGTAAGCCCCCTCCAAGACGTCGGCACACTCGGAAAGGTCGAGAATCAGGAGCATACTACGGGACTCGGGAAGCCCGCAAAATACTTTCTTCCGACGGACGGCGAGGTTGCTTGGCGGGGATTATGCACACAACCGAGTGATGGAGACTGGAGCCCTGCATCACTGGTAGTCTACGGGCGAACGATTTCGATCCCTCATCAAGGCGATGGCAGAGTATACTGGGACTTTGCGAAACTTGTCGAGGCCTTCGGTCCAGCTGACTACATCACCATGGCCTCGACTTACCATACGTTTATCATCGACAACATTCCCGTCTTGACAGTGCTGCAGAAGAATGAAGCACGTCGCTTTATCACTCTCCTAGATGCTTTGTATGAAGCAAAGTGTAAACTCGTCGTCCGCGCGGCAAGAGGGCCGGACGAACTATTCTTCCCTGATACGAGGGCATTCGGTCGCAAGAACGCGGACGGAAACCCAGTGGTGGACGCCGATGCTATCCACAGCGAGACTATTGCCGAAGTGTATCAAGATAGCTCCTCTCCGTTCCGTCCCAACATATCCTTCTACGACACCGCTTCGTCGACCTCCAAATACGATCCGGATCAAGATTCCGACTTTGGCTTGAACGATGCAAAGGAGAAGGCTAAGGAGGTGGACTTTGGCAACACCAGCGCCTTCACCGGCGAGGATGAAAGGTTTGCATACAAACGAGCAGCAAGCCGGCTGTGGGAGATGTGTAGCGCCCAATGGCACGCCCGGACAGGAGACTGGTGGCAGCCGCTTCCAGCAGACGCAAGACATTGGGAGAAGGGAGCGCCGTCCACGCCGCTGAAGGTCAATATAAATGAGGCTGCCAGGTCGAGCAATGATGCGACCATGGGCCCCTCTGTAGAGCTTGAAGAACCGGCTGGTCTTCAGGGACTGAGAGTTGAGGCGATGAAGAACCTGGAAAGATGGAGGAAATAGTTGACCATTTTCCACAGGTGATGTCTTAGCCGTGGAACCTTTCAACACCAGACTCTAGACAGCAGCCACCAGGCGATGACCGTCCAATATGAAGCATTCCGTAACGCCGTCGCCATGAATCCAACCGTGTGACCTGGAATGACCGTCTTCAGACGGAGTCCATCATCGAAACGAGCCGATGCATCACAAGCTTGTGACGCCCGGCGTCCAACCCTCGCCGATGCGGCGTATCTCCCCATCGAACTTGCGGCTCCTGATCCTCTTTCCTCCCTTGCCCATGACCTCGTCCGGCTCGAAAAATGGGTTCTGCACGAGCCGTACGTACGCGCTCTGTACCGCGCGGAACACAACCTTCAACTCCCCATCCCTCAACCCGACACCACCGCCCGCGGACCCCGTCCCTGTGCCCGTGGCAGACTTTCGATCACCACCAAAGACGCTGCCATCGACGCTCCGCCCGCGCATATCGACTACGACAACAATTTTGACGCCCGTGTTCGTCTCGAAGCCGTAAGCGGCGAGGCGCTCGTCGACGGCGTGGAGGAGGCCAAAGTCGCCAGAGAGCCCGGTGCCAGTGCCTGCAGCGTGGCGAGCGCGGAGTTCAAAGACATCGAGGGTGGAGGAGAGGAGGAGGGAGAACTGGAGAGGCGTGCGAAGGGGGGCGAGAGTGTTGGTCTGCGGGTTGAAGGAGGGGAAGATGGAGACATGGAGGGGGTTGTTCTGGACGAAGGACAAGGCTGTTAGCTGGGAGGACAGAGGAGGCAAGGGGGCCAGGTGGGAGAGAGAGTAGCTGCACGCACTTCACGGCCGATTATGCCTATGCAGGCTATGGAGGGTATCGCGGTTGCCATTGGGGGCAGTGATAGTCGCGTCACATTGGCGTTGGTGGGATCGTGGTTGTTGGAGGGGCGTAATCGCTACCAGGTTGTGGTGGTTTGGAGGTGTCGACGTAGGTGCACCTTAAGCTCGAGATCAGGTAAGGCAGGGAGTGAGCGTTGCGAGACTTTGATGTAGTCCGGGGTAGACCTCCATATTAAATATACCTGTATATACCTATGAGAAACCTCAAATGCATCCGCTATGAGTCTCACCAAAGATCAGACAGCTGTTTCTTGGAAATTGACCTCTGAAGCTCGACATCTGAACCCAGACATCGGGAAGTGATTTCTCTAGACTGACGAAATCGAAACCATGGCGATGCCTGGGTCACAAGTCATGTTCAGGAGGTTCGAGGGTGGGATATCGGTCCTGACGAGGGCGTCTTCTGAGGCTCAATGGTCAGGACACAACCAATCTAGACGCACTGACATGTCGTCCTTCAGCAGCATTGCTGAGTAGAGACAAGCGTGCCGTGGCTTTAGATTTCGGCTTCGGCACCATCAGAGACAACGATGTGGCTTCACGATCTTCGCACCTTCCATGATCAGTGTCTTCTTAACTTCACCGCCTCGTCTCTCAACCGCGGATGAACTCTCGTGTGCCCATAGAATGACGAAAGCTTCGTTGATTGACATCCTCCGCTCCACAGCGACCAACGAGCGACTGTGCCAATGGGCACGCGCTTCGGGCCAATTTCCAGGGGCACTCGGCTGTCTGCCAGAAAAGGCGAGGCGTGTTCTAGTGCGGCTTGATAGGCCGGGGGCTGGGCTGGCCTTCACGAGATGGGTCTAGCCTCCGCCGAGCTCAGGACCAGGAGTTTGACGAGGTAATGTCGTTTTCCGAGGTCGGCGTCTCCATCAACGTGCCAGTGCATAAGAGCGAAGCAACGAAGATAATCGACCGGGCGGGGCATCTGGTACGTGAAGTCGTAGAGAAAGACTGCAGTGAGATGGAGATTTTCGGGGCCTGGCTGAAAGTCGAGATGACCGGACCCTGAGCGAGCAATGCGGAGGGGTCCAAGAAATTTGGCTTGATCGAGTCGGACAAAAATTAGGTTGACAACGCTGGCGGGTGAGCCCCAGAGAAGAGTCTTGCTCCGGTACATGCGAGATTGGTAGGAGATTGCGGGCGACGCGATGTACATGGGGCCTAAGGCAGGAGTTCACATGGCCATTACGAGTCGTGGGCCCGCACATTCCAGTGGCTAGTTGCCCCCCCAAAGTGGCTGCCAGTCGGGGTGCTAATAGTGGCCACAGCGCCTCCAACCCCCCCCCCCCCCCTCTTGGAGCACGGGCGCCAACAATAACCAAGGCAACCCTGTGTGGCCTGCACAGGCGGTGTCAGAAGGAAACTGGCGTTACCCGCTTGCCCGCCTCCCACTGAGCGGAAAATGGAAGGGGGCCTGGTAGGCCCCCCCCCCAGCTGCAGGCGACCTGACTGGAGAAGGAGACCTGACTTGGGAGCCTCAGGCCCGCTCGCCTGCTTCACGAGCGAACCAGTGGCTTACCTGGCCAGCGTTGGGCCAGATCCACCGGCCGAACCCCAGTCCCAGTTCCCTCGACCGTCCCGTTTCCCCGTCCACGTCCCCTGGTCCACTGCTCAGGTACCTTACCTTGCCTTGCTCTACCTTTGTCTCTGCCTGCCGTGCCTGTCCGCTGCCAGTTCTAGAGCCCATGGTCCCTACTTGAGGTTCCTAAGGTACCTGCCTACAGCGCCCGTGCACAGGTCCGTTTGTGCCCGGTTCGTACCTGGCTGTGCTTGTGCTTCGCCCTTTCCCTCTCGCTCTCTCTCTTTTCGCCCTCCAACCCCGACCGTCGCCTCTCTCACCCTCCTCCCCATCCCATCCCCGTCCGTCCTCTCCTCCACACCACGCCATCGTGGCCCTCCTGACGTCTCTCCTCGGTCCTGCTCGTCCATCTTCGCCTCTGGACGACAACCTCTTCACCGAGTCAGAGCTGCTTGCTGCGTCTGCGTCTTCTATTGCATCTGAGCGTGCAGCTGCAATTGCGTCTCGCACAGCACCGGGTACCATCCACTTCGCTCTCCCTTGCCCCTGGCCCAAGGTTCTAGTGTCGGTGACTAGACACGACAATACGCCTTCGCCTTCAGATTCGAGCTCGACCCCCCCCCAATCCGACGACGAATTCGACACTCTGGATATCACCACACTCATCCTGCAGGTACGTCTCACCGCCAGTGATCTAGACGGCCCCAATAATGTCATCGGGATCTCCGTTGCATCTTCCGTCTCGGATACCGCATCTTCGTATGGCAGCACGCGAGCCGACTTGGCCTGTTACCGTGCAATGCCTTCTTTCCGCGCCCAGCACATTATTAGCAAGCCTAACATGGCGCTCAACTCTGCATTCGCCTTGAACCTCAACCAACCCTCTCGCGCCGACATCGATTTCCTTACCGAACCAGCCTGCCGTGCCTTTGACGCTGATGATCACAACCGAAAAGCAGTAAGCTAACCTGCCGATTATCTCTAGACTTGAAATTATCCCACAAGACTACGGTCTTGCCGGTCGTATCCGCATCAATACAAGCTACACAATTACACCAGCCTCACAATTTCGGACCTGAACACGATAGAACGGTCCGTGTAGGACCTATCTCTCGATACGATGGCTTCCTCTTCGAGCAATGTCGTCGGCGTACACTACCGCGTGGGGAAGAAAATTGGAGAGGGTTCGTTCGGCGTTATTTTCGAAGGCACCAATCTCCTCAACAACCAGCAAGTCGCCATCAAGTTTGTAAGTATCACGCCTGACGATTCTCGGAGCCCCAATTTCCCGCCAAGACAACTTGACTAAACATAATCAGGAACCTCGGAAGAGTGACGCTCCTCAGTTGCGCGATGAATACCGGACGTACAAGATTCTTGTCGGCTGTCGTGAGTCGCCAAACGTCTTTCGCTACGAGATGCAATGCATTCTAATTAGGAAATAGCGGGCATCCCCAACGTCTACTACTTCGGCCAGGAGGGCCTACACAACATCCTTGTCATTGACCTCCTAGGCCCCTCGCTTGAGGATTTGTTCGACCATTGTGGCCGGAGATTCACCATCAAGACCGTTGTCATGGTTGCAAAGCAGATGGTATGTCTGCCGTGCCAACTGGACACTGACGTAACTAACCCTCTCGGCAGCTCTCAAGGGTTCAGACGATCCACGAGAAGAACTTGATCTACCGTGACATCAAGCCCGACAACTTCATTATCGGCAGGCCGGGCACGAAGGCCGCAAATGTCATCCATGTTATCGACTTCGGCATGGCCAAGCAGTACCGCGACCCGAAGACGAAGCAGCACATTCCTTACCGCGAACGCAAGTCACTGTCCGGTACAGCTCGTTACATGAGCATCAACACCCATCTTGGCAGGGAACAGTCTCGCCGTGATGACTTGGAGGCGCTCGGTCACGTTTTCATGTACTTCCTCCGCGGTGGTCTGCCCTGGCAGGGCCTGAAGGCTGCTACCAACAAGCAAAAGTACGAGAAGATCGGCGAGAAGAAGCAGACGACCCAAATTCGCGATTTGTGCGAAGGCTTCCCCGACGAACTGAACAAGTACCTCACATACGTACGAAACCTTGGCTTCGAGGACACCCCTGATTACGACTACCTGCGCGAGCTCTTCACGCAAGCCCTCAAGAATACGGGTGAGGTCGAGGATGGCGAATATGACTGGATGAAGATTTCCAAGGATTCGGGGAAAGGTTGGGACGGGTCGAAGGGGCACAACAACGCGTACCTGCACAACCCCAACGCTCGACCCGGGCCGTCCCAGATGGAACTCCACAGCGGTCAGCGCGGCGGCGCGAGCGCAGCCCACGCGCAAGCGCAGAACCTGACGGTCAGCCGTTTAAACGCCGCGCAACCCCCGCCTCCGTCGCCGATCAAACAAATGAACAAAGGTCGGCCAAACGCGCCCGGCGCCTTGGGCGCCCAGCGGAGCAGCGGAGTCGGGGGTCTCCGGGACATGGCGACGCCGGCCGGATCCACACAGGCGCAGTTCCAGAACAGCAACCGCAACCTGCCTCAGACTGCTCCTCAGCAGGGTCCTGCCCAGCCGGCTCAGCCTAGTGGACGGTCTCCTGAGCCCCAACCTTCCGGCATGCAGAAGTTCATGAAGGTCCTTTGCTGCGGTGCGTAACCCAACATACTGACCCAAGTGTAGCACAGGCTAATTCCCTCACAGGTTAGTGTCCCGGATTTACTTGGTGTTGTCTTGGCCATACCGGGAGCGGGACCAGCTAGCTCCTTTCAAGCGATTATATACACAGGCGGATTCTTCTTGATCCAGCTTCTGCACGTCGATATGCGTTGTGTATTTCTCTGGTCATGAGCGGCCGTGGACTACCGCGAGAGCTACCCTGGCTGCCATGCCACTGGATCTCATCAAAGGCCTCTGCACCGCGCCTCGTTGGACACTTCTTCCCGTTCTGATCACGCCATCAGAGCTGATCATCCGCACCATGTCGACGACGGCACGACTTTTATTTTTTCTTTCTTCTTCTTCGGGCATTCTCCTTATCTTGGCGTAGCGGTGTTCATTCATCCTTTTCTCACAAGAGGAGAGACTGCGCTACATCACTGGCATGCAAAAAACTCGACTTCGGGACCCGGACCTTATTTCCTTGAGGGCCTGAATGTTTCAGCCGAAACAAAAAACATTACTACATCCTGTTAATGCACAGCGCGCAGTACGGCGCATGGCGGGCGAAGGCGGTCGGTGGGGCACCATGGCATTGGGCTGATTCTGCAATACGTTCGTGTACTGTTCATAATAACACCAGCCGTGTAGTGCGAGGACGACGAGAGTTGATTTCGTGCCTTGCCCAGGGATCTTGGGCAAGATGCAGAGGGAGCAGACATCAGAGGACGACACGCTTCTGGGGAAGCTGATGGACAGATGGGCTGTGGAGGTCGAGCAGGCGGGCTGTTAGTGTTGGTTGATAGACGTGAGAATATAAGGAAATGACTTCATATATGGGCTCTGCTGAACGTCCCGTCTCAACCGGCTCACTGGTGACGCTAGCTTTGGCATTTATTTAGTTGGATCCCGCATGTCAAGCAGGCTTTTTTTGAGGGTGAATCCTTGGCAGTCGTGGCGAACAAGTTTGAAAGCGTGTCTCATTCATTACAGAACCCCTACTGTCTGCTCTCCTGTCATGCCTAGGGGGCAACTCCCTCATGCAGTACGTCTTTTGCATCATAAGCTAGGTAGATGTCCTCGAGATGCATCAATGCACGACGCCGTCTTCTTCCAAAGACGGCGGAATACCTCCAGAACTCCCACGCCTTTTGCACAACACAAAGATGTCGAGTCCCTTCTCCCGTCTCTTGTGTCGTCCCTCGCTCCTCCCACGCGTGCGCAGCGCTCTCACGTGAGCTTCTGCTTGATGAAGAAGGACCGGAGATGTGACAGCTGCCACGCGCAGGTGCCGGCGAGGACGGTCAGCTGGATGATCATCCAGCGGACGACACGGGAGTTGGTGGCTTCGGACTGGTCGCGGAATTCGGCCTCGCGTTCCTAGAGTAAGCATTAGCTGCGCTCCTTCCGTCATGCTTCTTTTTCTTCTTCTTTTTCTCCTTTCTCTTTCTTTCGCCTGTTCGGATCACTGTGCACCGCGCGATAAACGTACTCTTTGGAAGACCTGCTCGCGACGAATGTCCTGCAGCCTGGCGTTGAGGTCCTTGATGCGGGTGGCGACGTCCTGCAGCTTGTCCTTGTCGGCCGACTCGATTCGGGAGGTCTCGCCGATGGCGAGGTCGAGCGTCAGGCGGATGCCGCCGTTGTGTGAGGACTGGCTCAGCCAGCCGGAGCGGCCCGACGTTGACGAGGGGGTGAAACAGAGCTGGTGGTCACCGGCATCGGCAGCGGAGAAGGTGAACTTGCCCGCGGCGGCACCGCGCTGGGAGACGACGCGGTGGTCATTGTCGAAGAGCTCCTGTTTATCAGTCGACATGGTTAGCTGCTGTGAAAGGAAGGCAAGAGATGATCGGCTGCTGGGAGAAAGGAGGCAGCGCCAATGTCGAGAGGACACGGGACAAGGAAAGGACGGGGTAGGGCGGGTGGCATGGTGGTGGCACATACGTCGACGGTGATGTAGATGCTGATGCCGTCGTGCTTGGCCCAGTTGTTGATCCTGTCGTCCCACTCTTCGGCGGTGTAGTGGCCAACGACGAGTGTGTCTTTGGGGAGCTCCTCAAAGAAACACTTCGGGGTCGTCCCGTCGATGTAGAAGTAGAGGGCCTGCGCAACGGCGCTCATCGACAGGAGAGGGAGGAAGGACCTCATGATGGCGGGGAGGAGGGGGGAGAGAGGAGGATGGACGTCGTGGTGAGACTCGAGACCAGCAGGTGAGAAGCTCCAGCTGTGGGGAGGCGTGCCGGGCAATGGGCGTGGTCGAGGGTTGCAGATGCTGAGGTCGTGGGAGGGTAGCTGTCGAGATGTGATCGGCTGGCTCCTGGGAACCCCAGGATCAATTCGCCAGGCCCTGGGGAAGCTGCCACGTTCGAAAAATGTCCAGTCTGGCGACCGTCAGGGGTGTCATGTGATCTTAGTCATCAGCCGGCTGAACTCCACTTCACTGCAGCTGGCACCCGCCGGCACAACTACGGCCAGAGTGGGAAGCTCCAAGCCAGTGTGGGGTTTGAATGCTGCAGTTGTCAACCAGTCACTGAGGTACTTTGTACATGTAGGCGGGCAAGGCACGCAAGCAGGGCTGGGCGAACCGGAGGACTGGCGCGCCTTGACAGACGGGCAGTCTGACGAAACTGGGTAGTCAGCAGTCACTGCCACTATGGTCAAAGACAGATCCTCTGAAGCCTCCTCGGCGTGCGCCCCCCCAGTAGAGTGACGTGCCACTGCCATTGTCATTGCCCATTGCCTTGTGCTCTCCGCATTTTGGATTGGACCAAGTGCCCTCGGTCGCCCGCCCACCTGCAACCCACCCCAAGAACTTCAACAGGCCTTGCTGCACAACCAAGAAGCCACAACATCTCACCACACTAATGGTTCCTCATGCCTGAGTACTGTCGTCGCTGTCAGACTCGACACTCCTGCAAGAATTTGCTGCAATTTTTGCTTCGCAACAACCTGGAATAGGTATCGAGCGGAGGTGATCGAAACCTACCCTACCTGTCTAGCCCACCTACCTTGCCTACCTACCTACCTACCTTGCCTTTATTAGCGGGACCTTGCCCACCTAGGCTTCCCTACGACACGACCCAAATCCAGGTCTGCATTCGTACCAATTAGCAGATACACGAACCACCGTCTTGCCGTTGGTAGACCATTACGTAGGTTACTCAAACCCGGATCGCCTTTTGCTTATGCAGCTCTTCTGACCAGTAGCCGACACCGCTACAGTTCCCCGCGAGTCCCGACAGTGCAGGGCTGGTCGGTCTTTCGCGTCCCACCTGGCGTCCAGAGTCGTCGACCTTTGACCTCCAGGCATTCTCAGTCGACAAAACTCAGCTCCCGCTGGCTCCCCCTTCTCCCGCGAACGAAGCCAGGGACCTTCATCATGGTAAGATGACAGAAGTGCAAATCGCGGCCGTTCAAGAGCCAGCATCTCCTTAGCCTGCCGAGCTGCTTCTGTCCTTGTCCTCGGCCTCCAATCGTCGTCGCCGCCGCCACACAAGCCTGCCCCGCCGTCATCACCAGTCAACGTTACGAACGCCGCACATTCTGTTTGGGCACACAGCTAACGCAAACACGGAACAGAGCTACAACAACGACATTACATCCCCCAGCGAGATGGTGATGGACACAGACGACTATGTCGGCATTCCGAACGAATCCGAGAAGGAGCCTGTCGCCATCATCAACCCAGACAACGACCATGACATCGACAACTTGCAAGACCTGCCTCTGGCGACCGACCGTAAGCCACGCCGGTGCTCGCTCGTCGCGCTTTGGATACGCTAACATGCTATGCGACCCAGACGAGGCCATGAAGGAGCTGATCCTGCCACCATTAGCCGAAGAACCCCGCATCTTAGAAGATGTCGTGAACACATGGTCGATCCCCTCCTGGAGGGGGCTGCCAAAGCGCGAGCATGGTCCCATCTTCCATGCCGGCGGCTACCCTTGGTACGTCGTTGCGCCAGCCCCGCCGTGTTGAATGCGGTGGACTAATCATGTGTCACAGGCGGATTCTGCTCTTCCCCTTCGGCAATAATGTCGACCAGTGCTCCATCTACCTCGAACATGGCTTCGAACCGAATGAAGTTCCAGAGAACTGGAGCTGCTGCGTGCAGTTTGCTCTAGTCCTGTCGAACCCAAACGATCCCAGTCTCTACACGCACCACGTTGCTCATCATCGCTTCACTAAAGAAGAGGCTGACTGGGGATTCACGAGGTTTTACGAGCTGCGCAAAATGTTCAATGTGCCGTACGAGAACGGAAGCCGACCACTATGCGAGAACGACACCGCCAACATCACCGCATATCTTCGTGTCGTTGAGGACGAGACGGGCGTGCTATGGCATACCTTTCTCAACTACGATTCAAAGAAGGAAACGGGCTATGTTGGCTTGAAGAATCAGGGAGCCACCTGTTATCTCAACTCGCTTCTCCAGTCCCTCTATTTCACAAACGCTTTCCGCACCGTGAGGCTCAACCAAATAGCTTTCTTGTCGCACCGTGCGCTAACGCGATCAACAGGCCATTTACGGAATTCCTACACAGCAGGAAGATAGCTTGAGCAACAGTGCTTACACAATTCAGCGTCTGTTCTATCAGCTCCAGACGTCAGAAACGGCAGTAGGCACGAATGAGCTTACCAAGTCTTTTGGGTGGGAAACGAGACACATCTTTGAACAGCAGGATGTTCAAGAACTGTCGCGCAAGCTCATGGAACGCATGGAAGAGAAGATGAAGGGCACGCCAGCTGAAAAGGTGCTGCCTGACATGTTCAGTGGCAAAATCAAGACGTACATCTCCTGCGTCAACGTCGACTACGAATCCAGCCGTATCGAAGATTTCTGGGATATCCAGCTCAACGTGAGCGGCAACAAGAACCTCATCGAGAGTTTCCAGGACTACATCCAAGTCGAGAAGATGGATGGCGAGAACCAGTACTATGCGGGCGACGAGTTCAAGCTCCAGGACGCCAACAAGGGCGTCATTTTCACCAGCTTTCCGGATGTGCTGCACTTGCAGCTGAAAAGATTCGAGTACGACATTCAACGAGACATGATGATGAAGATCAACGATCGATACGAGTTCCCAGAGGAGTTTGACGCCGCCCCTTTCCTGATTGAGGGCGCCGACAAATCCGAGCCTTGGACTTACCAACTGCACGGCGTGCTCGTGCACAGCGGTGACCTCAACGCCGGACACTACTACGCCTTCCTGAAGCCCGAGAAGGATGGGTGGTTTTACAAGTATGATGACGACAAGGTTACGAAAGCGACGATGCGCGAGGTGCTTGAGGAGAACTTTGGTGGCGAGTATCGACTCCCCAATGGCTCTTTGCTGCGAGCACCGCTTCAAAAGAAGGCGCCGATCATGCGTCAAAACAGTGCGTACATGCTGGTGTACATTCGCCAAACACGCCTCGATAAGATCCTGCGCCCCGTCACCTCGGACGACATTCCTACTCATCTGAAGTCGAGAATTGAAGAAGAGACTGCCTTGCGGGAAGCCAGGAAGAAGGAGCGTATGGAGGAGCATCTCTATATCGGTGTTAAGGTCATCACAAACGAAACTTTCAAGCAGCACGGCGGCACAGATCTAACCAACTTTGACCCTGAAGTGGAGGATGCTTCGACGCCCAAGTTCTACCGGGTTCTTCGTACGATGACTATGGAGGAGCTCACGACCACCATCGCCGAAGACATGCAGCAGGACCCTCGCAAGATTCGCTGCTGGGTCATGGTCAACCGCCAAAACAAGACAATCCGTCCGGATCAACCGATCATGGACCTCAACCCTACGGTGGAGGAGGTTTTCCAGCGAGCACAGGCGCACCGGGACCAGGCTCTCCGACTCTGGGCTGAAGTCGCGGAAGAAACGGCTTCCGACGGCAAGGCTATTTGGCCCACCCATGAACCCCAACAAAATGGCATTGTCGTCAAGAATGACTTGATCTTGCTATTCCTCAAGTACTTCGATATCGAGTCGCAGACCCTTCGTGGCGTTGGTCATGTGTACATCAGCAAGGAGAAGAAGGTGGAGGAGCTCGTGCCTTTGATCTTGAAGAAAATGGGTTGGGGTGAAAAGTTGCCGTCTGACGAGAAAATCTCTCTATACGAGGTCTGTACACGGACACGGATTCTTGTTTTTTTCTCAAGATGCTAACATTATTGCCAGGAAATCAAACCTACCATGATCGAAAGTTTGAAGCCGAAGCAGTCGCTGAAGGCGGCTGAGTTGCAAGACGGCGATGTTCTGTGTTTCCAGCGGAGCGCGGAGCGCAAGAGCGAAAGAAACATTCTCGAGAAGCGTCTGCACCTCAATGAGAAGCAGGTGTCTGAAGAAGCGTGAGTGACAGAAGGACTCCATGAAAGGCCACAACTAACAGTGCGGCAGCACGCGAAAGTCTGATCGCGTCGAGGATGCTCGGGAATACTACGACTTCTTGCATCACAAGAAAACTGTCAAGTTCCACGCGCATCCCACGAAATGTGACGCGGCACAGTTCCCGCCTTTCGAGCTGGTTCTTAACTCGAAGATCAGCTACGATGTGTTGACGGAACGAGTTGCGGCGCAGTTGGAGTGGGAGCCAACACATCTCCGACTATGGACAGTCAACGTGTCTACAGGCAACCCCAAGAGCGCCGTGAAGCGTGGCAACAACCAGACGCTTCAGTCCATCTTGAACCCCACCGGATTCGGCAACCTGAATGCCAGCCAAAGGACGGATGCATTCTATTTCGAAGTCCTGGACATCAGTCTTGCGGAGCTAGACACCAAGAAGAACATTAAGATCACGTGGCTCACAGAGGGCATTACGAAAGAGGCAAGTTGCATGTGTGGCATCGGAGTCTAGGCGGCACTAACAAGCCAGCAGGACCACCTGGATCTCTTGGTCGCCAAGAATGGCATCATTGAGGACCTCATCCAGGCGCTCATTAAGAGGGCAGATCTGACTGACGAAGCCGAAAGCGGTCGAATTCGGGTTTACGAGGCGAGCCAGCACAAGTTCTACCGGGAGCTCAAGCGCGACTACCCCGTCATCAGCCTCAACGACTACACCAACCTGTACGCGGAGCGTGTGCCGGACGATGAAGTCAACGTGGACGACACAAACACCATCTCCGTGTTTCACTTCCAGGGCGAACCTAACAGGGCCCATGGTGTGCCTTTCAAATTTTTGCTGATCGAGGTATGAGCGCTTGCACGTTAACAGTCGACGACTGGAGCCAGTAGCTGACGAGGGTGCAGGGCGAGAAGTTTGCAGATACGAAGAAGAGGCTGGAGAAGCGTACGGGCTTGAAGGGCAAGAGCTTTGAGAAGATCAAGATTGCCCTGATCAGGAGAACGCACTTCTCTAAACCCCATTATCTGGAGGACGGTACGTCAGCAACATGTGTGCAAAGCCCCTTTTTTTGCTCTCGGGCGCAGTGCTGATGAAGACGCATGACAGACGACGAGCTATGGTCCATTGCAAGTGGCGATGATGACTATCTAGGCCTCGATCACGTCGATCGGACAAGGGCTCTACGAAACGGCGTTGGAGACCTCTTCCTTCGGTAGCGGTTGACGGCGTGGACGTTTGAATGCGAAGGGAACGCGGAGGGACCAGCAACACGAGCTCTTGTTTCAGTACATGTTATCGCTTCCCGAGTCAGTCTAAAGGGTTTTCCTTATCGAGGGAGGCTTGTGGAACTATCGTCTGACTATCTTCATGTCCTTTTCTGGCGAAGTGAAACTGTACAGAGTACAAGCCGGGACGGAAGCTGTTGGCTGTGGCAGTATCATTTGACTCTGGGGGTTCGGGGGGTGCTCTCCAGGAAGGTGACTGCACACATGGCAGGGCGGAGCAACATGTCAGGTATAGGACACAACAGTCATAAGAAGATCACATGGTTTTGATGCTGGTGTGTCGTCAAGCACCGAGTGAAGTGTGGAAGCTCTGATGGTCCGTCGACGAGGCATACGAACGACATGATTGACTTGCTGAGGCTCGGTACCGCGTATGCAAGGTGACCCGACCCACATGACGGGGCAGGGGGCCAACAGCCGGGGTCGCCGCCGCGAGAAATTTTGGGCGGTGAGTCGCGGCAGAATCGGTGAAGACGGGACTCCCAGGAGCTGGGCCGAGATTCGACTCGCTTCAACGCTGCACCACATGCCCGCCACGAACGCTTGACCTTTCCACGACCGAGACTGCTGCCGAGACCCGTCTTCGCCAACGTCCGAATCGCGAGCCCACTGCATTCTTCAACATGAACTTCCCCGGAACAGGAGCCGGCGCCGGCGCGCAGCCCCCCGCCGGCGGCATCAGTGGAGACGACCCCAATGTCAAAGCCGTACGTCCGGCCACACGCGCCTGCAACGATCCACGAGAGGGAGCTGACATTGGTTGAACGCGCAGATGAACAACTTTATGGAGAACTGCTTCGCCAAGGGCGCCATGTCGGGCGTCATGGGATTCGGCATGGGTGGCCTCTTTGGCATGTTCATGGCCTCGGTACGTCGACCTCTCGTCCCTCCTTGCTTCATCACCATCGCCGCCTCTTGCGCGCGAGAAGGTCCATGACGGACCACTTCGAGAGCGAAGGACCAAGACGCTGACCCTTGATTTCCCCCCGAATAGATGTCCTACGACACACCCTTCCACACAGCGACCCCCGGCGGACCGCAGACCCCCGTCTCCTCGCTGCCGATGAAGCAGCAGCTGCGCGTCGGCCTCAAAGACATGGGCCAGCGCTCCTACAGCACGGCGCGCAGCTTCGGCAAGGTCGGCGCCCTCTTCGCCGGCATCGAGTGCGGCATCGAGGGGCTCCGCGCGAAGAACGACCTCACCAACGGCGTCGCGGCCGGCTGCGTCACGGGCGGCATCCTCGCGCGCAACGCCGGCCCGCAGGCGGCGGCCGGTGGCTGCATCGCCTTCGCGGCGTTCAGCGCGGCGATCGATGCTTACATGCGGAGCCCGGGCGACGAGTAGACGAGCCTTCTTTGACGAGCACGGCTGGGCGATGCTGAGCCCGGTGGGGGGCCAAGGGCCCGAACACAACAGAGGAGGGGGGGGATGGATGCAATGTGTACGATGTTTTCTGTGGGCATGGCATGGCGTTCTTTGGGATTTAGACGGGTTTGGGTCATCTTTTTCTGTGGCGGCCGAGAGAGAGAGAGAGAGAGAGAGAGAGAGAGAGAGAGAGAGAGATCACTCCACTTCATGTTGGGAGGGCTGGATGCTGGAGATGGCATCGCCCTGTGTATCAAGATGGGACGGCGGCACGTCTCAGACGGCATGCTGTAGTAATAGTGAGCTGTGCCACACGTCCATCACCACGTAGTACTTTGGTTTGTGAGGTGCACTTCAGGACTTGAGCGTGACGCCAGGCGTATCGGCAAAAGGGGGAAACGGAAGCGCCGGGCCACGCACGGGACAAAAGACGATAATGTGGAGGTGGCCCAGCCGGGCGACCGTTGCATACAATTACAACTAGATGATACCCTCGAACCAAACGCCGTAAGCGCCATCCCTCAGGGGCCGCCGCCAGGTCCGTACCCGGAGAAGTTCAATTTGCTTGCTCGCTCGTCATTTGTGCCGCCGACCCACGCTCAGTCGTCCTCGTCGTCCACCCTCGCGCGCTTTGTCTGCCGCGACTCGTCCTCTTGCAGGCCGTAGCCCCTCTTCGCAGTTGAGCTCTGCTCGACCTCTGACAGGAACTTGTCGACGTTGAACGGATCCGCCGTCTCTTTTTCAAACTGTACTGGACCCTCTCGTGCCTAAGAAAAGAAAATTGTTAGTAAATGCGTCTCGAGGACAGATCGGGAGGGTTGTAGGGGGGGGGGCTTACCTCTGCCTCCTCGGCACCCTTAAACGTCCCCCTGCCGAGGGCCTCGCCGAACCGGCTCGCTTTCTGGATCTTGGCCATCTCCTTGTCGCCCGCCGCCTCGTCCTCGTCCTCGTCCATATTTGCCTTGGGCCGGTAGATGCTGCTGATGGCGTCTTGGGCCGCAAACAGCGGCTTGTCGTAGGGGTTGTCCTCGTTGAAGCCGCTGTCGAATCCGCTTGACTGGTTGAACAGGCGCGAGTCGTACATGGTCTCCTTGGACTGCGTGGGCTTGGCCAGGCCGAGGGCAATCTTCTCGGATATGTCACGGTTCTGCTCGCGCGCCATGACCTGCACCCTCCTCTCGGCGCCCATGCGCGACTGGCGCAGCTTCCTCTCCTCCTCGCGCATCTTGTCCTTGCGCGCCCTCTCGCGCTCGCGCACCTCCGAGTCCTCGCTGTCCGAGCCCGAGTCGGAGCCGCTGTAGCTGCGCGAACGCGACCGTGACCTCGAGTCTCGCTGGTCGGCGCCGGCGCGCTCCTCGCGGGCCTGCTGCGCGAGCATGCGGAGGTTGTCCTCCTTTTGTTCCTTCTCCTTCTCGGCCAGGCGCTGCTGCATCTGGGCGCGCTGCCTGACCTCCTCGCGGGCGTGGCGGTCGGCCATGTGCAGGGCCTCGGAGAACTGAGCAAACTTGTCGTTGACGGTGACGTCCTGCATGCCGCGGCCGTCGGCGGCGAGGCGCTTGTCGAGGGCAATGGTGAAGCCCTTGGGGTTCTTCCAGTTGGAGATGGGCGGCGGGATCCTCCAGTTCTCCTGGTCCTCGGCCGTGGCCTTGCGCGGGGGCGAGTGCATGACGGGGGGCGGCGGGCTCGGCGGGCCGCGGGGGATCTTCTTGTGCTTGAACTTGGGGGGCTCGAGGGGGTCGCGCTGGCGCTCGACAATCTTCATGATGCGGTCCTGCTTCTTCGCGTTGTCGCCCATCTGGTTGGCCGGCGTGTAGCGCACAAAGGTCGGGTCGGCGCGGTTGCCGACGTTGATGTTCTTGGGCTTCTGGGCGGCGACGGCGCCGCTGACGAGGGCAGCGAGGGCGTTCTTCGTCTTCTCGGTCGTCGCGGCGACCTCGTCGCGGCTGGGGCGCGCGAGGTCAATCTCGCCGGCGTCGGCACGCTGTCGGAGGGGGATGAGGTCCTTGAAGGACGCGTGGATGATGCGGCTGTCGTTGTGGCCCTGGCGGGCGATGGCACCGTAGTCGACCTTGCCCTCGGCGTCGACCTGGACGGCGAGGGCGTTGCTTGCCGTCGCCGACTTTTGGCCCATCGACAGAGGGTACTGGGCGACAGGCACCTCGGGGAACGCGCCGCCGTCGCCAAAGTCCTCCTGGCCGCTCGGCCGCCATCCCGTCCGCTGGCCATAGGGGGGTGGTCCTGTTCTCTGTGGTGAGACGTCAGCATGCTGCACGAGCGTGGTCTTCCGCGGGAGGGTGGCTGACCCTCAGCACGACCTGGGTCTGGTCGAGGTGTCCTGCACCGACGATGCGCGGGCCGCGCTGCTGGGCGTGTGCAGGGGCGTCGTCTTCGCCGGTGTACTTTGGTGTCGGGAGTGCCGAGGCGAGAGCAGCCGATATGGATGCCATGGCGCCAGATGGGAGGATGTGTCGTGGTTTGCAAAGCGGAGGGGGAAGGGGAGGGGGGGGGGGGGGTGGATGCGAAAGGCGAGGTTGAGCAGTCGCCCATCTGAAGGCTAGAAAATCCCAAAGCAGGTCGAGAAGGCTGACGGCTCGACCAAAGCTGTTTGGCTGTCGCTCTGCCAGGCTTTCTCCACCCTGAGGGCTAAGCCTCTTTGGGCGGCTCATGGACGGATTAAACGTGACGTTGGCTCGACGGTGACAGTCACCTCTCAGTCGGCCGTGGGAGGGATGCAACTGGGATATGTAGAAAAAGTTCAATTGTTTTTCGGCTGATCAATGCAATGTAGAGACTTTGTTTTCTTGGCACAAATATCCGTCTAGAAGTGTCACGCCCATGTCAATACCCAAGACACTGACTGCTGCTGCTCAGCTACAGTATTGTACGGTAGGTACCTTAGCCCACCACCATTTGTCTCCCTTCAGTCTGCCATCACTCGAGGCCAAGCTCGACAATGTAAATTGAATTCTTTTTTGGACAACATGTAGGGTTCATCCCTTTCTGGCCAATTCTAACTCGTATAACTAGCGTGCCATCGGCGGTGGAATGGGTGATGTGCCATGTTAGGTAGAGTAAGGTAGGTAGGCACAGTAAACTGCTGCGCCATATGTTTGGCCCTCGCGGTACCGCTGTAGGTGTACCTTTGTTGGTGATGCAGCTTGGCCCCCCCACCGCGGGGTCCAAAGCTTCGTGTGCTCCTCTCACGACCTCGACGGCAACCATAGTCTGCTACGACACTCCCGCGGCCTCGCCATACCTCGCACTTGATTGATACGTCGTGCTTCCAAACTCGTGTTCATCGTCATGGGGTCTCGAACCGCCCTCGTCACCGGCGCCACCGGCCTCCTCGGTCGACAGGTTGTCAAGGCCTTTGAGAAGCGCGAGTGGAACGTCAAGGGTACAGGGTTCTCCCGTGCGGACAACGTCTCCGTCTTCAAAGTCGACCTGGGGGACGCAGTCGAGGTGCAGAAGGTGATAGACGATACCAGGTGAGCCTCTGGCATCGCCCACCCACGATTTGACCGTGCTAAGCAATTCACCAGCCCCCGAGTCGTGGTCCACTGTTGGTGACCCCTCACTGGACAACCCATGGTAGCTGCTGAACGTGAATATCAGGTGCCGCGCAGAGGTTTCCTGACAAGGTCGACAAGGACCCGGAAGCGAGCAAAGCGCTCAACGTCGAGGCGACAAGGTCTCTTGCCAAGCTGTGCGCCGACCGTTCGGTTCTGCTCATCTACATCTCGACCGACTACGTCTTCTCCGGCAAGGAGGGCGAGGCGCCTTATGAGACCGACGCGCAGACTGGGCCCACCAACCTGTACGGCCAGACGAAGCTCGACGGCGAGCTGGCCCTGCTCGACGAGTACAGGAAGGCCGGCAAGGAGGCCCTCGGCGTCGTGCTCCGCGTGCCCGTCCTCTACGGCCAGGCCGACACCCCCGCCGAGAGCGCCACCAATGTCCTGCTCGACACGCTCTGGAAATCCCAGGAGGGCGCCAAGGTGAAGATGGACCACTGGTCGATCCGCTACCCGACCAACACGGAGGACGTTGGCCGCGTCGCCCACGGTAGGGAGCAGACACCCCCCCCCCCCCCCCCCCACGCCGAGAAGCGTTGACGACTAACGTGCAGCCTGCAGATGTTGCTGTCAAGTATCTCGACACGGCGGATACGTCGACCCTGCCCCGCATCCTCCAGTTCTCCAGCGAGGACAAGATGACCAAGTACGAGATTGTGCAGACCTTCGCCGACATCATGGGCTTGTCCATGGAGAACGTCGAGCCGAACACGGAGGGAAACGATCCCAACGCCAGCGTCCAGAGACCTTACGACTGCCACTTGAGCACCAAGGCTCTTCAGGACCTCGGGATCGAGGTGTGGACGAATGATTTCGTTGGATGGTGGCGTCGTGAGGTGCATGCGTTCCGTCACTGAGGCCACTCTCCAGAGCTAGGCCGGGGCACGGGTCGTCAGGTGAGGGCGACAATAAACGCCGTTGAAGCGCTGGCGCCGAAGCTCATCTGTGATTTTCCAATGCGCGTCTGCATAGATCAATTTCAGAAGATGGCTTGGCATATCCTTGCGGGCATGCATCAGGTCCGGTCCATTTCAAGCCATGTATCGAGCTGTTCGTCCGGGCAAAAGATACCGGATGAACGTAGCGACAATCTGGACGAGGGCATATGCGAGGAGCTGAAGTTCTCATGTTGTGATCCGGGATGCAAGTTGCAAGTGCCACGATCGCCACAGCCGTGAGGCACACCCTCGTAGTCTGGGTGCATTCTCCATGCAATACAGGATCCTTCGAATCCTTCGCGCGGCGCGCCCCGAGACAATGCAGCACTTCAATACCTTCGGCAACTTCACTCCGGCGACTCGCACGAGACGACGACGAACCAGCACACGAGGGGTTGCGATCAACGATGCAGATGCAGCAAAAACTCGGCCCTTCGTGTCGTCTCGCATGCTCCTGTCCGCACAAGAACGGACAACTGGGTATCTTGTCTGGGATTGCTGACAGGAGAACATGCCAACGTTGGGGGGTCATTGCGTCGAATCCTTCGGTTCCTGCAACCGTCTTTCCTTTCCTCTGGTGGTTCCACAGCCTGATGCATACGGTATGAATCCCAAGAGGTTTACGTCTTTCTTTACTCACATAGAGGAGCATATCCTCCACGTCGGCCACTTGGCCATGAACATTGTCTACTTCGGCCCGCATACTATGCGGCCCCTGCCTTGGCATGCGCTCTATTGACGGTCTGATGAACACCCAGAGAGACTTTGGCTGCTGAGCTTTTGGGGTGTTCGTTCATCGGCATGACTAGTTCATGAACATTTGCTCATTGACAGAGGGGGGTCGTTGAAGTGACAAAGATGTTTGTTCTTGCGTGGAAACTCTCTCAGCGGGCCTTGTGTGGGAAGCCAGAACCTATTTTTTGCTATGTAGAAAGTAGCTTCGAGGCATGTCGAGATGTCATGAAACGACTTTCTCTTCATCCTGTGAGTCTGTCGCTCTCCGCTGTTACAGACAAAGTCTCGGCGGAGTTGCAGAATTGCCACCCTCTCTGCCGTAACTATTGAGTAGCACATCAACTCTAAGCGCAGTGTTGCAATTGGCGACAATGAATCCGTAAACGGAACGGGGACCCGTCTTCCGCTTCGTAAACACTATCTGCTACCTATTCGTCGTCACTGAGTGCATTCTTCCAGGGTGAAGCAAACAGCGAGCCTGCGCGAGCAGCGATAATGTGTCATGGACTTGAAGAGTCGCTCGGTCGGACGACATGAGCTGGGTTAAAAAGTATAAGAATGGCAGCTTTTCCAGAAGAGAAAACTTGGTGGCTCGACAATAACAACAACAACAATCAATTCTACAGCATCTCTCCATCCAGACTCAGCCAACTCTCTCACTGTAAGCTACCCTTGCGGGACGTACGATGATTCCACAACGCGTCAAAAGGCTAACAAGGAATGCCGATACAGCCACACACCAATCGAAAATGAAGTTCACTACCGTCTTCGTCGGCGTCGTCGCCTTCTTCTCCACGGCCGCCATGGCTCTGCCCTCGCCCGTCGGCGCCGAGACGGTGGACAACGACCTCGAGAAGCGGCAGATGTGCAGCCCCTGCTACCGTGGCTTCCGCAGCTGCTGCAGCACCGGCGGAAACTGCTACACGGCCAAGTGCTAGGGCGTCGAGGCCTCGACATGGGCTGACGGGGATGGCAGGACCTGGCCAGGACCAGATGTGAATGGGGGCCTCCATTTCCTTGGATATCACTGGACAATGGGGAGATGACGTTGGGGATCCAAGTCCCGTTCCGAGATTTGTTTACCTTGGGTGCAAGGGGACACGAAGAATAGCATCACGGATCAACACGATTAGCTTTTTGTTGTTCATACTTCTTTTCCTTTCGAAATGGTGATCAGGATCAGTTCTAATTATGTTTAGGTGGCTTGAGACAATACACGCACCCGACGGGTCGGTCCTCGGGTTGGACGCCACGGTGCTACTTATACCTTATGCGTCATGCACATTCTTCGTGCTGTGACCAGCCACAGGTGATGGTGCTTTGGGAGCTGGGAAAAAGATATGTGTACGTTGTAGATGGCCATCAGCTACATGTACGTGTACGCATGTCTCCCTACCACCAGGGCATATCCCACCAGGGTTAGGGTTGCGCCCCCACACACTGGCGAGACCCTGCATGGCTCAAAGTAGCAACGGCAGGGCGGAAAGTATTTTTACGCCGAAATGTAGTGCAGTGAAACCTCACGGACCGCCAGGCTCGGGTGCCCTTGCAGGGAATAATGACGGGTGGGCTAGTCCATCAATCAGTAGCCTCTGTCTGGCCCTACGGACCTGCAGGTATATGTACGTTCGCAAGGTAGCGGCGAATTATGCTACCCTTCATCGCTAGGCTACCTACCCAGGCAGCCCCAGGCGATGATGCCTACCTGCCTTGCCTGGGCACCTACCTGGATACCTACATGGTCAGGAAGGTACCTTACCTAGCGACTGCAGAGGCACAAAGTTTGCCAGCGGATCGCGACGATCACGATCGAAACGAATGGTGGGCCGATCGTCTCACCGGGCACCCAGACCATGTCATCACGAATTGAGACTTGCAGCTCACAGCAAAGTTTCTCTTCCTTCTGCCGTGGCCCGCCGGCGTATTATTGCTTCGGCCCCTTCAAAAGCAACAAAGCGGTGCAAGGGCACAGCAAGGGCACAGCAAGCGCACAGCAAGGGCAGACAGACAGAGCCTGTGAGCGAAATAGCGCCCAGAGGAACGACACGCAACGCCTCTCGCGCTTTGTCGGCTGCTGGGCTGCTCGTCCCACCCGAAGAGACCAGGGACCAGGCAGGGACCAGGGACCATGGACCGTGGACCGTGGACCGTGGACCATCCATCACCCAACCTCGTACCGTCTCTCTCTCTTCCCCCCCGCGTTTTCCATTCCAGGTACCGTGCCTCCCCTCCCACGACCTCGCCTCCCCCCCTCGACAGCCCTCGTGCGCACAATGGCAGCCCCCTTTCCTTTCGCGAGGACCGTTGACCGACTTGGCATCCCTTGAGACACTATTTCTGCGATTTGACATTGCCGACCACCTGGTCCTCCTCTGTTCTGGCGACTTTTTTTTTTTTTTTTTCCTCCAACACACATCGTGTGAAGTCGACGATCGATCTCCTCCCGACGACTGCCAGGCGCATCGCGAAACTGCTTCCTTTCGTAGCAATCAGCCCCACACAAGCAAACATCCTCGGCAGCCAGACTCTTGCTGCAGACCAGAAAAGCGGAAGCGGACGATCACAAGGCAGGCAAGGTCCCGTGGATCGACAAGGTCCCGTTGAGCGACTGCCTGGGCGATTTCGGAAGCTGGTACTACATCACGACAAGACGATCTGAAGCGCCATGCGACTACATCGACCTTGTTCATCTTGAAACCCACGCCACCACCACCACCACCACCTCCTCCTCATCCTCCTCTTCCGCCAGCCACAGCCATGCCCTCCAATAACTTCATCCACGCGGGCGGCGTCGGCGGCGGCGTCGTGCCCCAGCTAGATGCCCCTCACTCCGCCAGCAACGCAGGCGACCGCGTAAGTTGGCCTACCTGCCCCTCGCTCGCGTGCCTTGCGGACCTCTGCGGACCTCACCCGCGTGCCTTGTGAACCTCGCCCGGCTGACCATCCTGACAGCGAGTGACGATCCGATGCATGCAGTCCTCCATCAGCCTGCCCGTCACGCCTGATACCTCGCCCGTGGACCTTTTATTCTCCGCCGCCAATCTCATGAGCCACAACATCGACCCTCCATCGAGCATCGTCGTCGAGTGCTACTTCTCCTTCGGTCTCGAGCGTCCGCTGCGGCGCTACGAGCGCATCCGAGACATCCTCAACTCGTGGGAGCGCGACGTCCAACACTCGCTTCTCATCATCCCGGGCGGCGCCGCAGACATCAGCTCGGACCTGAGCATCGAGTCTGTGCCGCGCTCGCACGATGCGCCGCCCGGCTTCATCAACTTTCCCATGCACCTGTCGCACAGGCCCGGCCGCTGGAACAAGCGCCTCATCACCCTGCTCGAGACGGGCCAGGTCTACTCGCACAAGAAGCCCGACGCCAAGCTGTCCGACAAGGACAGCACCGCCCTCTGCAACCTCTCCGATTTCGACGTCTACCAGGTGACCGACCAGGACATGCTGAAGCGTCTCAAGGTGCCCAAGAAGCACGTGCTCGCCATCAAGAGCCAGCAGAAAAACAGCGTCTTCCTGAACACGGAGAACTTCATTCACTTTCTCAGCACCGACGACACGACGGCCGCCCGCAAGCTGCACAAGAGCGTCCAGGAGTGGCGCAGCTGGTATCTGGTCAACAAAAAGGTCGACCTCGCCAAGAAGGAAAAGGCGCTGCAGACGAACCACGACCGGCTCCACGTGGAAAAGCCGACAGATATTGTCAAGAGCGGGCACCACCGCCTGAAGGTGTCCGTGGACGAGACGCCGTACACCATTGGCAAGTTCGAGCCGCTCCTCGATATGAACAGGTTCGATAAGCCGCTCGAAGAGTTTGGCAAGGACTTTCTGCCAGAAAGGCCCGCCGAGAAGCAGAGGCCGCCCGTGCAGAGGCCGCCCGTGCAGAAGGCCACGACCAGACCCACGACGGCGACGCGGCAGGCCATGGCCAGCCCTCTGCACTCGCCCCGCGCGCCCGTCTCGCCGCCGCAGCGCATCGACCCTTTTGCGCGGGAAGACGAGTTCAAGTCGAATGGGCTGCTGGGCAAGGTATACGAGGATCGCAAGCACCACGCCGAGCTGGCCGAGAGGACATCGGATGATTCTCCGGCGGAGGGGCCCTTCACAGGCGGACTCCTGCAGAACCGCTTGCAAGAGGAGAGTCGGTTGCAGGAGCCGAGCCGGCAAGCGAGGTCACTGGACAGGAGCAACACGAAGAGGAGACCGTCTGCGCCCCCGGAACGGAGATTTCAGCTCGACGCCACCGCCGAGGAGCCGCCCCTCGAGAGCCCGTTCACCGGCGGTCTGCTGCAGACCCGTCTGCAGGAGGAGAGCCGACAAGCCCGGTCGCTCGACCGCAGCAACACGCGAAGGCGACCGACGGCCTCTGAGCGTCGGTACCAGCCCGAGGCGTCGCCCGAGCCCGCCGTCCCCGTCACGGGGCCCTTTACCGGCGGTGGCCTCCTGCAGACGCGCAACCAGGACCCGGCCAGGCAGACGCGCGCCCCTGAGCGCGCCAACACGCTGCGCGGCGCCTCGGCCGAGCAGCCCACGATGCCGCGCCAGCCAGGCCGCGCCCGTGCCCGCACGAACCCGCGCCCGCCGACCTCGGACGGCGCCTCGTACGGCAAGCTCGCCGAGAAGCCCCAGCCGCTGCTCGACCTCTCCAACACGCCGCGCGTGCCCGACCTGCCACAGGCCTGGCGCGAGGCGCACGGCCGTGGCGTCCGCGTCCCGCATGGCGCGCCCCTCGTCAGCATGGCCACCGACTCGCGCGAGCAGCAGTATGGCCACCTCGGCGGCAGTGGGCTGGCGGCGCTGCCACCGAGCATGGCGACAACGGGCCTCGCGCGGCGGGGCACTACCAAGACGACCAAGTCAAACCCCGGCGCCGCAGCAGCAGCGATGACGACGACGACAGCAACAACAACAACAACAACAACAACAACGGGGGGGCTCGAGCGGTCTGCTACGAGGGCCAAGTCAAGTACGAGGGCGCGGTCGAGCACGAGGGTGCGAAGCGCCTCCACCGCTGCGCCGGCGCAGAGGAGGGCGGCGTCGCACGAGCAGCACCAGCACCAGCAGCCGCCTGTGCCGCCCATGCCGACCAAGTCGCCCGTCGTGCGGCCTTCGAGGCGGAGGGACGACGATGAGGACGTGCCGCTGATCAACTTTGTCGAGCGGGCGAGGGGGCGGGACCCGATGGCCAGGGGTGTGGAGATGAGGACCCGGAGCGGGCCGTTACAGGGTTGATTGCGGGGGGGGGAAGGATCTGTACCGATGTGCTTTGGTTGCTTTGGTTGGGTCTGTAACGAGCTGCCCTTTTCATTCATGGTGGGATGAGAGGCAGAGATAGGGGTTCATGGCTCCCCCTTTTCTCAGGAGGGGAGGAGTCCATGTACCTGGGACACGCGCACGCATAGTCAACGATCTGGGCCATAAATTTTCTTTTTTCTTCTAACCCACCTCGTAAGGCCGACTAGATGGCAGGAAAAGGCATGTCATCATGAAGGCGGTGGGGAAACACCAACGGCGCAACACAATACACAGCAAGTCAAAGATGCACTTCCTATGTGCCCGTGTAGTTTGTCCATTTGACTTTTCACGTGGGCCGTCGTCAACACGGTCTATGTCATTACTATCAATCGTATCCGCGGTGTAGGTATCTTCTTCTTCCTTTTGGCAACAAATCATCATCTCCCGGCCTGCACCTCTCCCGCCAGGCCAGGCCTCGGGGGCACACACGCTCTACTTGGTGCGCTTGTAAATCTTGGCGAGGAAGGCGTCAAAGACGGTCTTCTTGAGGCCCTCGCTCTCGTCAATGTTGTTGATCATGTCGCGGATCTCGCCGGCGCGCTTCTCCTCAAAGGCCTCGTAGCGCTCCTTGAGCTTGAGGTCGTCGTAGAGCTTCTTGACGACGGCCTCCTTGGCCTTGTCCTTCTGGCCGTAGTTGTCCTCGAGGATCTGGCGCTGCTCGGGTGTGGCGATCTGCAGGGCCTGGTTGACGAGCCAGCCGCACTTGTTGTCCATAATGTCGGTGCCAATCTTGCCAATGTGCTCGGGCAGGCCAAAGTTGTCGAGGTAGTCGTCCTGGACCTGGAAGTACTCGCCGAGGGGGATGAGGATGGCCTCGGCCTGCTTGAGGTTGTTGGGCGTGGCAATGTTGAGGCAGTGCAGGGCGAGGGCGACGGGCAGGTAGAACGAGTAGTAGGCCGTCTTGTAGATGACGATGAAGCTGTACTTGTCCATGGAGAAGTTGTCGAGGTTGACCTTGTCCTCGGGGGCCGTGAGCAGGTCGCAGAGCTGGCCCATCTCCGTCTCAAAGGTGACGTCGTGGAAGAGCTCGATGAGGTCGACGTAGGACGGGTGCGAGCGGAAGAACTTCTTGAGCAGGGTGTAGATGGCGGCCTCGAGCATGAAGGCGTCGTTGATGGCGACCATGCCGACGCCCTCGTGGCGGTACCAGCAGGGCTTGCCGCGGCGCGTGATGGACGAGTCCATAATGTCGTCGGAGACGAGGAAGAAGGCCTGGAGGAGCTCTGTCATCCAGCCGAGGGTGGCGGCCTCAAAGTACTGCTCCTCGGTCAAGGGCTTCTCGAGGAGGAGAGAGACCGAGTCGGGGACGGACATGCCGCGGTTGCACTTGCCGCCCAGAGTGTTGATCTCAAGACTCTGCAGCACGCCGCGTTAGCCAAGTCGCGCAGCTTGAGCAGTTCGCTGGAGACATACCTTTTTGTACCACGCGAGCTCCTCCGCGGGGAGCTTGTACTTCTGGGCATGCTCGACAAGGACGGCCTCGAGCTTGGGGAAGACGGCCTCGAACTCCTTGAGGGTGGTTTTTTGCGCCATGGTGAAAGCTGAAAGATGTGATGGGGTGCTGGATTCGAGGGGCGAGGTCTCTCTCGGTTCAGGTGTCGTGGAGCAAAGTAGGTAGGCAGCTGGCCGTTGGGAAATTTACCGCTATTTTATCAGTCGCAATTTATCGGGTCGTCTTGGGCCTTGGTCGCACCGAAGGGGGGAAAGGGGGGTGAGAGAGAGAGAGAGGAGGGGTCTGCCCCAGCTGCCCCTCCTTCCCCTTCTGAACGGGCAGGCGGTCAGGGCTAGAGACAGGGGACCCGTCAGGGGGAAAGGCGAGGGATCCAGGGCGGGGCAGTTGTGAAGGGGGCCTGGCAGCTCTGTAAGTCAAGCGCTGTCGGGCTGGAACGGGGCGGCACCTCGCCGCGTCGCGCGCCTCCCAGGGGCTTTGATCATTGGATAGCTCCCAATGACATCGTGAGCTATGTTCCAGTAAACCCGACTCCATCGACGAGCCCTTACCACGTCAGGGCAATCAACTGCAACACGCGCTTCTCTGACGACAAACGAAGCTGACCATTCACTGCCAGGTCATCAATTGCCTTTGACAAACGCGTCGCATCTTGCAGACCCAATTCACCGTGCTGAACTGGATCTGCCCGCCCTTGGTCCTCCTGTGACCGGCCGGTACCACACGCCCCGGCCAACCGCGACACTGACGGCGCGTGGCTGAGAATGCCCCAGACATGTCCCTGAACGCGCATGACCTCGCACAGCTTCGAGCTGCCCTGCAAGATGCAGTGGTGAAGTGCTCGGAGCGCTGCCTCTACCAGTCAGCAAAGTGGTGAGCCTCGTCCCTGCCGCCGAACAGGACAGTCTCGCGAGTCGACTCTAACGCGTCGCTCCTAGGGCCGCCGAGCTTCTCGATGCCATACCAGACCCCTCGCACGAGGCACAGCCAGACGAATCCCCTCCTCCTTCTGTACCCGTTGTTCTGACCGCCAATCCGGACCCCGACGAGGCCCTTCTTGAGGCGAAGGAAGTCAACAAATACCTGCTCGCCAAGTCCTTCTTCGACTGCCGCGAGTTTGACCGATGCGCCGCCGTCTTTCTCCCAGACTCCATGCTGCCGGGCATAATAGACCCGAAGCGTGAGAGTGTCGGCGGCACACCTAGCGGCAAGGGCAAATCGAGAGCCTCGCACGATGATGCGCCGGCCACTGTCGACGGTGGTGCGTTGCCCAACCTGAGCCAGAAGAGCCTGTTCCTGGCGCTGTACGCCAAGGTCATGTCGGGCGAGAAGCGCAGAAACGAGGACTCGGAGATGGTTATGGGCCCCCAGGACCTCGGCACCGTCGTCAACAAGCAACTCCTACCTGTGGGCCGCTTCCTCAGCCGCTGGTTCGAGCAGCGGACCACGGAGGATGGCGATGTTCTCGGCTCCCAGGGCTGGCTCGAGTACCTGTGAGTTTGCCGTGCTGATCCTGCTGCCCTGGTGCATGTTGTGACTGATAGTGGTCGCCTAGATATGGCATGGTACTCGCCAAGGAGAAGAACGAAGACAAGGCCATGGAATACTTCATCCGGAGTGTTCACCTGTTCCCAATGAACTGGGGCTGCTGGCTTGAGATGACTTCGCTCATCACGAGGCTGGAGGATGTAGGTTGCTGCCGTTCACCTTTGATTTTGAAGTCGACCTGCTAACGGCGTCAGCTCAACCGCGTATCGCGACACCTACCGCAGAACATAATCTCGTTCATCTTCCACCTTCACACATCACTAGAATTGTACCAGCAAGGGCCCAGTCTGGCCAACTCTCTGGACCAGCTTCTCGGCATCTTCCCGACCTCCGCATTCCTCCTCACCTGCAACGCCCTCCTCGCCTACCACGCCAAAGATCTCGCAGCTGCCGAGCAGCACTTTAGCCGCCTACTGTCGCTCCACCCCTATCGCTTGGATTCGCTCGACCACTACTCGAATATTCTCTACGTCATGGAGCTGAGGCCGAAACTTGCCTTCATCGCTCATCTGTGCTCGAATATCGACCGCTTCCGTCCAGAGTCCTGCGTCGTCGTCGGAAACTACTACTCTCTTCTGTCCATGCACGAAAAGGCTGTGCAGTATTTCCGCCGCGCCCTGACGTTGGATCGCACGTGTCTGTCGGCGTGGACGCTGATGGGCCATGAGTACGTCGAGCTGAAAAACACGCATGCGGCCATCGAGTCGTACCGCCGAGCCGTGGACGTCAACCGCCGGGATTACCGGGCGTGGTATGGCCTCGGCCAGACGTATGAGGTGCTGGAAATGCACACGTACAGTCTGTGGTATTACAAAAAGGCCGCCGGCCTGCGCCCGTGGGACGCCAAAATGTGGGTGGCCGTCGGGTCCTGCCTGCAGAGGATGGGCAGGGAACGGGAGGGCATCAAGGCTCTCAAGCGGGCCCTGCTCGCCGACGCATACTACGACGTGGGGAGCAGTTTCGGAAGCGGGGATATCCTCAGCGGACGGGGCGCAACGGGCCACATGGACCCGGACGTGCTCTTCCAGATTGCATTCATGTACAACGAGATGGGCGACATGGACGAGGCAAAGTCGTACATGGAGCTCTGCGTCGCGCAAGAGGACGGGGGAGCCGGGGAAACGGCGCTGACAGAATCCATAGCGATACACAACGACTCCCCTGGCGCATCCGACGACGAGGACGGCCAGGACCGCGAGAGCGCGGCGCGCGAAGGAACGGGCGTCACGGCGGCAACGAGCCGTGCGCGCATGTGGCTCGCGCGGTACGCCATGGACACGAATGACTATGAGGCGGCCGACAAGCTGGCGACAGAGCTCACGCAGGACGGATATGAAGTGGAAGAGGCCAAGGCCCTTGTCAGGGAGGCGCGGTCCCGACTGGTGGGATATGAGGAACAGGTCCTCAGCCCATGACGGGACCTGGCCTAATCACCTCGTCTCGACATAGAGCTAGCTAGCTGCCTTTCTGGGATTCAAGCGCAGGCGATAATGAAGCACGAATTTATGAATTGACCACCTGCCTGCCAGCCTCTGTGTCTGCCTGCGTGTCTCTTGTGCAGCTCCAGGTTGAACAAGGCCCTTTTTCGGCGATCGATCGAGTGAGCCTATCGGTGTGATACGACCGTCTACTAGCTAACGAACCTGCCTGCTTACCTCTACTTGTCCACCGACACGCCCGCCGATTACCCGCCGATGTTTCCGTGACGCAGCTGCATGTGCATCAATGCCTCCCCGGGGGTCCCTCTGACAGGTTCAGCGACGGATACGAGACGGCCGCCGTCCAATCCCCGTCCTGCTCGAATCACAAGCTCTGTTGGGCATTCAATCAGAGCAGCTCGCTCTTTGATTTTCCTTTTTATCCTGGGGGGGGCGGGCGGACGGAGGCGTTCATGCGAGGGTGGGGCAGCAGTGGGCTGACGACCTCTCGTCGAGCTGAAATGTCACCCCTGTCTCATTCGTCTTGTCCGTGTAAGTGTAAAAGGCATGCGCAGTGCAGTGCAGTGCAGTGCAGCGTAGTGCAAGGCGTCAGTGACAGTGGTACTGTAGTGCAGGCTGCCCATGCACGGGACGGACACCTCGGTGAGTCGAAGCCGGCGAAAGTCGACTAGCGAATAAGCATGGGGTCAGTACCTTGTTTTCTTTCTCTCTTGTTCCTCACTTTGCCCCATTCGTATTCCGTGCCTTGAACCGACAGGTGCGCTGTTTTTCTTCCTGACCTCCAGCTATCTACCTAGCTAGCTAGCTAGCACGCGATAAGAGAAACGGAGTGTGTCTGACATCACACACACGAGTTCATCCCGGTTGAGAGTTTGCCCGCCGGACCTGGAATGGTCTGGTGGGTCCACGTTGCACGCGAGTTCAGCCTTTCGTGTTTGTGTGGGTTGGGTATTGGAGGATTCGGGGGCCTCGGGTTTCGATTCTTCTCTAGTCTCTCGAATTCCTAGCCTTTCCTCCTATGCAAGGAGTGTGTGTGTATGTGTGTTTTCATGAGGTCGTTTCGCTTTGGTGCGAAGCCTAAACTCCCGTCCCTCATGCCGGTAATGACTGTACTTGTCCATCCGGCTGGCCCTGCGCCAGCTTTCCTGTCCTGTTTCCAACTCCTGTTGCCCGTGAGGACCTAAGTTAAAAGTGCTTACGTATGTATGTATGGCCCGAGTCCCAAAGAGAGCGTAAAGAAGAAGAAGAGTACCGCCGTACACATGATAACTCATGGCTTCATATCAAATATCAGGTAAGGTTTCCCATAGCCCTTACAGGAAGAAGGCAAGAACACCAGCGACGACAGCACCGCCGAAGCTGACGCCCATCTTGCCGGCAGCGGCCTCAGGGACCTGAGCAGGTCCCGTGGTGGTGGGCGGCACGGGAACGACGGTGGGCGGCACAGGGACGGCGGTGGGGTGGCTGATGACGGGGGTGACGAGAGGCTTGCTGGTGGCGGGCGGCTTGCTAGTGACGGGGGTGACGCCGCTGATGTGCGTCTGAGGAGGAGGCACGATCGTGTAGATCGAGGTCGTGGTCTTTGGGGGAGGGTAGATGGTGTGGTTACCAGCAGGGTGAGAGGGCGTAGGGCACCAGACGCTGGTGCTGGTGATGGGGGCAGGGTGCGTCTCGATGATGGTGCAGGGGCAGTCTGGAATTTGGGTCAGATACGAGGTCCAGGTTCAAGGGTCGTGATGGGTTCTTACTGGAGATGGTGACCGTCTTGGGCTCAGTGACGGTGTAAGTGACGTTCTTGTAGCCGAAGGTGGTGGGCAGCTGCCAGCGGTCAGCATCATGTTCCTGTCCTCAATACGAACGGTCAGGACCTACCGGGCAGTACGTCTCGTAGGCGGTCGTGACGACAGTCGTGTATGCGATGCCCTCCGCGCCGTAGGCAGCAGCGCTGGCCAGGGAAAAGAGCCCAGCAACGGGGGCGAGGACCTGAGTGAATCTCATCTTCGATATAGCGAGTGAATGATATCAGCGAAAGTAGATTGCCAAAGGCTTGCGAGAAAGCAACAGCAGAGCAGAGGATATAGACGAGCTTGCGAGTGTCGAGAGCGATTCTGAGCGAGGCTTGCATTCAAACAAGTTGACCAAGATCGTGGGCATGGCGGCGACTTTATCCTCGTGGCGCCCATCTCAGCTCAATGGCCGTGCCTCTTCGAGTCGGCCGGAAGCGTCAATAGTCAAGGACGCTACCCAACCAGCGTCGTATCGGTACATTGGAGAAGTGCTCCTGAACTCAAATCGATGCCGCATTTGTGCTCGATAAGGACCTCCTGCTGGCCCGCCCACCCACAGCACGTCCCTCTGGCTGTGATGAGGCTGACCAACTGGGCACAACGACCAGGCCCATCACCTCGGGTGGGTAGTGATACGAGATGTAGCCCTGTCAGCAACGCGCGATGTGCGGTGTGAAGCGGCAGGTTAGGCCGAACTGATAAACACCCCGGTGCTGATGTCGCGAACTAGAAGCGCCCTCATTGGCTGGTAGGACTTTATCGATTCCCTTTTGGAAAGTGACGAACCACGCATCAGGCAACGAGGAGCTGATCGGACGGCCGCTCATTCGTGACTACTCTCGCTGCCACGGAAACGGCTATGATGAGGCCATACAGGCCCTGCTTGGTGCATGGAAACTCGGCTGCCCGAATCAACATGGGCGCTGTCAGGCTCCCCAGCTCTCAGGCCGCAAGGCTCGACACCAATCTGCCGTCTTCAATAAGTCGAAGCTACAGACTTGACAGACTCATAAGACAGCTGGAGTCACCCGTTGCTTACATTCCATCAGAGTCATAACCCGTGGAAGCGGAGCTCTATCCGGTCAAGCCGTTCCCAGTCGATGGAGAGAGGCAGACATGTTACGTCAGACGAACAGCTGAGGCTCAGAATTTTCGGCGCTTCGAGAACCGAATCCAGGCACAGTCAGAAGCATCGTCCGATGCGGTGAGGTGGAGCGAGTCAAAGTCGTGAAAATTCTGGAGGTGGAGTTGCGAGAGAATTCCGCAGAGGGAGAGAGACGTGAGGGGGGATCTCGAGCAACCCTGGTCACCCCGCAGTGACGCAGTGGCAGAACTTGACCACACCCGATTGCCGACTTGAATCGATCAAACCGACTCGCTTCTGCGGTGGGAATTCCTGGCTGATCTCGATATTCTTGCAGGAACCCGAACGTGCCGCAACAGCCCCAAGCCACCAGTCACTTGAAACCCGCCCTACGGAACTCGTCGTCCGGGGAGACATACGGGGAAGATGTTGAGTCAAATGCTCTCAGGAGTCGCAGAACTCAGGCGCTTAGGTGATTGACCGTCGCAGAGGGCGGATGAGGCGTGCACCACCCTCGACCAACCTCTGGCAGAAGCCCACTTTGTCATATCACTGGGCAAAGACGACAAAGACGAGACGGGAAAAAAAGAAGTCCCTCACCCTTGGGCTTGGTGTGTGGTGGAGGCGTGAAAGAAAAACCTCGCGCGCGTGGGTCATAGGCTGCCGTCACAGACGCGGGACCAAGTGGAAGAATGACCACTTTGCCAGTCGAAGCTGGTGTTGCTCCCCACCCGTTCCCCCGGGAGTGAAGCCCTCCAGGACCAATGAAAATCGAGCGGCTTCAACAGCGTGAGAGAAAGGCAAGTGAAGAGGCTATGGAGACGCCTGGTGGCAGCATGGCTGAGCAGGTTCGCGCGTGGAAGGGCCTTCGGAAGCGAGGGAGGAAGAAAGGCGTTATTTCTGGGCTCGGCAGGTGCTGGCGCTGGGCCCAGCTAGTCCTGGCGACGGCGAAACGGAGCGGAGAGAAAACGAGGGCGCCGTCGAGCGAAGTACAAAGATGGCCGAGGAGAAGCCTTCGCACCCTTACGACGTAGATGGTGCCGACGGCCAGTCCAGAAGCGGCTGGTAGTGGATCTCGGTGATCCTTGGATGGGGCCTCTTGCAAAGCGGCAAGACGGTGACGGTGACGGGGGCGGAGCTGCATGGCGAGCCGCGGGCTGGGCGAACAGAGCCGGTGCAGAGTGGATGGTGTTTCTGCGCGGTATACGGTGCGGCACCGTGTCAGACCTCGCGGCCAAAGCCCCGCTCGCACCGCATCCTACCGCACCGCTCAACAACGTCCGTCGTGGTTGCGAGGCCAACGAGAAGGGAACAGGAGGGGGGAAAGGCTGGTAGGATGTCATGGACCACCGCTTGAACTGGCGATCGGCAGGACGATCGAAGCTGCAAGGCAAGGGGCTGGAAGGATATCTGTAGGATATGATCAGATACAGATCATCATGGAAGAGGCCGAGTATCGAGCGGAGTCGCTAGCAGTCATGGCGAGTGTCGATGAAAAGGTCTAGAAGCCTCGAGGATGACGGTTTGTGGCAATGATGGGCGGAAAGACGTGCAGGAGAGACGCCAATGATGACTTTGGTGGAGATGCAGGTACCAGAACAGAGAGCTGTTCGGTACCTGCCTTGCTTGTCCAGGTACGTCTCTCTCGTTCTTTCCAAGGAACGAGCCGGACCTTCACCACGTCAGTAGCTGCCTCTAGTGCCTGTCTCTGGTGCCTGCCTGTGGTGCCTGCCTGCCTCTGGTGCCTGCCTCAGGTACTGGCCGCTGGTTCCTTTCGCGCACCTGGAACCTGCCTGGCGAAAAGACCTGGCGTCGGACGCTAACAAAGGCGTGACTCAGTACTTGGGGATACCTGAGACAGCGCACGACACGCTGCGACGTTCGGGTAGTTCCCCGTAGCCCCATGTCCAGGCGCATAGCACATGCATGCTCCCTTTGTCTTGCCTCGCACCGGTATCCGGGTTGACAGGCAGTGGCATCGGGTTAGGGCTTCGCTACCCAGCAGCCCGACCAGTCGGAACCCAACATGGCCAGCTGGCACGGCGTGAACAAACAAGTCCACGACGACTGGGCTTCTCCACCTCCCCTTCCACTTTTCTCGGCTTCCAGACCGTCTGTCGGACCGCCTAAGTACCTTACCAACCACCACCACACCTTTTGACACAGCGCAGCATCAGAGTTTTCCCTTTGCGGCTTTCCCATCGCGTCACACCACTCGCCTGCGTCTATGGTTCCGGACGTGCGCGGTTTTCTCGTGCATCACTGGCACACCCTCCTCGACGCGGTTGAGAATCTTGGCCATGATCAACCAGGTTGCGGATTCAACCATTCACCATCCCTGGAAGATCAGGTTGCTCAACGATGCCTCTGATTCATTGAACTTCGACTCCGGCCACCCCCATCGGCCCATCTGTCGCATGAACAATTGCGCCCACAGTGGCTCCCAAAGGGCAAGCAAGGGTTTGTGTATCCCCTGTTTGCGCTCAGCTAGCAAGCAGAGCCCGTGAGCAGTGTCAATCATCCGACGTCCAACGAGAAAGCTCTTCAGTGACGACCATTGGTGCCTCGTTGCTTTTCCCGTCGTTTCTTGTTTGCTGTGTCTCTTCTGTTGCCTTGCTCTGCGTCGCTTTGCTTTCCGACCTTCGGCCTCTGCTTCTCTCAGTTCAGCTCGGATCGATCAGCTCGGACGGGGAAGAACCCCCCCAAATTCATTGTCATTGCCGTCCCGCTGCCTCCGGCTACACCGCCATGCTTGCTTGGCCTTGCTGCTCTTCTAAAGTGTTCCACGTGTCGACAGCGTCCCAAGCCGTCTTCTCTACGACGACCGAGTCTTGCAACGGCTACTGACGAGTCAGAACCAGACAAGTGTTGGACGGCACATGTGATCATGCAAGCCATGACAGGTAGTGTGTGTTTGAATGGCGACAACGGCCGAGGCCCTGAATAGAGAGACAAGGCCATTGTTTGTTTTAGCCAACATGCCTACGCCGACGCCAGCTCATGGAGTACTGGATGAAATGGATGTCGGAGAGAAGGAAGGAGGGGGTTCGGCCTCTTGACAGCGCACGCTGTGCAGGCGCCAATGCCACACCAACTCTCCATTCGAATCGACCGCTGTGCCTCTACCAAACGCCGTCGCAGCCTAGCTCTCACAAACCTCTGCCTGGCACTCCGCGACTCGCAGACTGGTCACCCTGTCATGGCACGCCACGCGGAATCTGTCAGGTACCAGGCACAAGCGTACTCCGGGTCCTCCAATGACGTTCCCGAAGTCGCCTCTGGAAGCCGCTTATGCATCCCGAATTGGCAAAGGGCGAGACCCGGCAGACGAGAGTGGCCCCCAAAACTTGCCCAAACGCAGCTAAACAAGCCCTTCACGCGCCCCTCTTTCACCACACTTCTCCCTCTTTTTTCCTTCTTTTTGCTTTCGTCGCCTCCCCCCCACCATCTTGGTCTTGGCCGTGCCGCCATCACAAGCCTTCCAGGCCACAGCCGCACCCAGTGTCCCGTGCTCTGTGCCTGGCGGGCCGCCCTCGGAGCAGCGACCCTTTCCCCTCCCGGCTTCCACTTCCGAGGCCTGTCGTGTGCCTCGACCCAGGGGGCGCCCTGGCGATGCCCGTCGCTCGCCCTGTCACATTGCACCATCCCACTTGCTATCTCCAAGGTTAATGACTACAGCCACATTCGTGAGGAGACTCTGGTATGAATGGCACAGTACAGACGAGATTACTGCGGTTTGCTCCATCTCGCTTTCATCAAACCGCCCTGGATCAAAGCAGAGGCAGACTCGTTCACTGGTCACGTACGCTGGGCGGCTCAAGAGCGTGAGGACAATACCCTTTGTCCGAAGACACAACGTCGCGCCCTCGCAAGACCACCTCCGAGTGCCAAAGACTTCCGCGTGGCGCAGAGCGTTAGTGGCGCGGCCCTTAGCCCGACAGGCTTGTGTTTCTTGTTATCCCCTAGCCCAGCTTCTAGTCGAGTCCTGTACATCGGAGGTACCTGGGCCACGGTGGCGGACCTTGGTGCAGCACGAAGACGCCCGACTCGGTGGACCACAACTCCCAGCCGCCCTGTGACTTTTACCGAGTGGGCCTCGATACAGTACATAGTATCAGTACCGGGACCTGCAGTTGTACCTCTTTTTCGAAGCCCGACAAGGTCCACAACAAGGTTGACCACCCAGGCATAAGCTTCAACATGGAGGGGGGGCCCACCATCCAACTTCTTCATGCGCTCTTTGACGTCTCTGGCATGTCACTCGTTCTATCCACATTCACGTTCTAGCCTCCGGACCAGGGCCCTCTCCCTGACCCCCCTCCCCTCGTTCCCACATTGAACCTTCTCCTCGAGGTAGGTATAAAGAACGAGACCCTCCGAGCACAGGGAGACGCTTTACCTTGGAGCTCATCATCCACAGTCCTTCATCAACCTGTCTTGATCACCACTTGTCTATCCGACACCTCACTCCTTCTCCAGCTTGTAGCTTGTCATTCCTTTGAAAGCACAACACTCCAACGGCCTGGCCCGTCAACGTCTCTCCCTCAACCATACAACAAATCATCACTTGACTTTTCAGTCTCTTGTGCTTCGTCGCAACAACACTTCGGAAATCCTTCCATATCAAACATCAAGACAATATGCAGTTCTCTCAGCTCATGTCCCTCTTTGGTGCTGCTGCCCTTGTGGCCGCCACCAACACGGTCACTTTCGTCTCTCTCGACAATACCGACCGCACCATCTACTTCACTCCCAACGCTGGTTGCGCCGAGGTCGCCTCCGTTGAGGTTCCCGCCGGCCAGTCCATCAAGTCCGAGATCCCCCAATCCTGGATCGGCAACTGGTACTCCGTGTCTGCCGGCGCTGACAACAACCCCGGTATGCTCGGCGAGGTCGCCTTCCAGGGCTGGAACGACCTCACTTACTTTGACGTCTCGGCCATTGTTACCCCCGGCGACCACGATGGTGTCCACGAGATGTGGCCTGCTCAGGGGCACACCCCCACCTCGGGCTGCGTTGAGTTCCCCTGCAACAACGCCTACTACCTCTGGGACGACGTGCAGACCAAGACGACTCCCGAGACCGACCTCATCTGCACCCTCGGCACCAGTGCCAGCCCTCTCAACGCTGGCGAGGATGTTCCTGCCGTCAAGCGCGACTTCGTCCTCGGCAAATTCTAAGTGGCTAGCCCACTGACGCTCATCTATCATGCCGCGGTGGATGAAGGCATATTCCAGGTTAGCTTTTACTCCAGGACACAAACGTGCCGGGAGGGCGGAGCGCTCATGATTTTTTTACGACTCTTCACGATAGACATCAATCAGACAAGTTGCGATACCCCCCTTATTTTTCTTGGGACAGCTTCAGATTGAGCCCCCCCTAGGGGACCAAACGGAATTCGGGTTGGGTCGGATTTTTCCACTTAGAAGACATGAAGGATTGAGGAACACTTTCGGCGTACATAGACTTTCTTTCCACATTCTTTACACTCGCTTACACCCCTCTCCACATTACATGGAGGGCCTTTTGGGACATTGGTTTTTTTTCCCTGATTAGGTTACTTCACCTTATTCGGCACATACACTTTTTCTCGGAAATGAATTCAGTCGATACCGCTATTGCCAGTCATTGGAACGTTGTGTGCTTCTTTTCTCCCTCGTATTGCTAAGCTTGATTGCATGTCGTTGCTTGCTACGATATAGGTAGGGGTCAGAGGGCCTGGCAGCTGGTGGCCCCCCCCTCTTGGCGCCCATGTGCCTGGCTCCAGTGTATCGTCCAGCCCGATGACAAAGACGAAAACCCTGGCAGGGAAACACCGCAGCTGGGTGTCGGCCTCTGCGGGACAGCACCCCTGGAGCGGATCCCAAAGGGAGGCTCCACTACAGGGGGTGTTGCGCTTGCTAAGAGCCGAAGGTCGGGTGGAGTGGGGGTATCGCCTGCTTGTAGAGGGAACCTTCCGTGGAGTCGTGACGCGCAAGCCATACTTGCGTCTGCTGAGCACAAGTCTACGCCGAGTTTTGATACGGCATCTGAAAGGACAGCCCAGCCCAGCCCACCCGCCTGACAATAATACAAAACCAACAATAAAGAAAAGGCCCCGGAAGCAAATTATCAGTCGGTCGAAGCCCTGGACGGGAAATCAATGGACGCTCGCTTGAGGCCCTGGAAATGGTCAGTCGCCCAGGCACGCTCATTAGTTTCAGGGGCGAAAGGTACGGCAGCGTAGCACCACCGCTGGAGAGGAAGGGGGAGGGGGCTCTCCAATCGATTAGGTATGGTGAGATGGTTGCGGCACGCCGCAGATTTTGGGTTCGACAGAGCGCGAAGCAGCAGCATTCCTCTTAGTGCTGGACGCGGGAATCAATATGTGATAAACCCAAAGGGAACGCGCCCACCTGAAGGCATTTTGGGCCCTGAAATTGATGCGACTCTGGCAGTGACACGTCATGCGGATGGTTCTCGTCTCTGCGCGCCGTGCCATGTGGTGTGCTTCGTGGGGACGAGAATTCCTGTGCAGTGTCCCGCCTCCGTGGTCCCCTAGCTGGTTTCGGAGCCATGGAGAGTGGTAGGAACGACAAGACCATTCATGTACATGGTATACTGTTGGTTTTGAAGGCAGAGAGCGCACTTGGTGCCTTGTTGCCTTGGTGCCGGGCGTGTGCTACACGTAGACGCTACCCGTTGGCGGCTGGATACACGGCAATAATGGGACAACGGGCTACTCGCAGCCTTTTGAGTGTGAGGCTGCCTGCGGCATACTTTGTACAGAGGTATGGTACCTAGATAATGCAAGATATACATACTCAAATATCCGATACCCGAGGCAAGGGGGAACATTGCAACTCTGCGCTTGAACTCCTGATCCCTTTCTCATTTCCCTCCATGTCACGACTTCTCCTTCTTCGGTTCGGTCTTCTGAGACGCCTCCTCTTTCTCGCCAAATGCCTTGGATGCCTGTATGTCGGATCCGCTCTCTGGCGAGGGGGGTCCCTTCTCTGCTGCCTCGTCGGCTGATTTGACTTCGGCGGCGTCTACCGTCGCCGAAGACGGAGTTGGATCCGCTGTTGCTGGTTCCGGCTGCGCTGCCTGTGCTGGCGCCTCAATTTGCTTGGAGTTGATGATGCTTGTCAGATGTTCGCCCGTCGTTCCGAACCCGTCGACTTTGCCGAGCTTGGTAACGAGGAAGTCTACATCGCGCCGCATACTGCACGTGCGTTAGTCAATGAACCGTTCAAAACACGTGGATGTCTCTGAAGATGTCTTACCTGTCTTGGCCGGCCGGGGTCCTCGGGTCTGCCGCTTGGAAGACCGTACCCAGCTGATCCTTGTAGCTCGCGAACACGGGGCCCATGATCATCTGCACAGCACCTTCAGGGAGATGTTTGGTCAAGACGCGATGGAGTGTTGTTGTTTCCTTCGCCAGCGTCTCCATGTACGGGCGGACCGCCCTGCTGCCCTCGCTGTCCCAGTCGATGGCCTTGACAGCCTTGGAATGTTGCGCCGCACGCCCGCTCATTATGTCGACCAGCTTGTCGTAGATGCTGTTCTGGTGCTCCTGGAACAGCCTGCGGACCTTGTCGAACTCGGCCATCAGACTTGACACGCCCGCTCCCGAGCCAGCACGACGTCGAACAAATTCGCGAATGTGGGGAATCAGTGTTACAATCAGTGACAGAGCCTGAGACGCGAGCGCTAGGTGTCTCGTGGTGATGTTCTTCAGACCGGCGGATCGGGTCGCGCCGGCACCCAAAATGAGCTGGGTGCATCGGGAATTGAAGAGATGTAGGTAGGCAATGAGAGATGTGGCGACGTCGGTCGTCATCGAGGGAATGCCGGCCATCAGGTGCATGAATTGCGACAAGCCCTCGAGACAGAGTATGGCCGAGTTTGGGAGAAGGAAGCTCTCGCCCTCAATCATTGCTGTCCGCGTCTTTTCCTTGCCGGTGCCGTTGGGTTCTGAAGCCGCATCGTCTCCATTGGTTCGCTCCTCAGTATACTCCGTCCAGATTTTAGTCCCTTCAGACCAGGCAGCAGCATCCTTAGTGCTGCTCTCCAGGATCTGGTTCAGTAGTGTAGTATCTCTGTCGCTGAAATCTTTGGCGTTCCACTGGTCGGACTCCATGCCCTGCGCGAGCTTCTGCTTCTCCGCCTCGCCGTGTTGTTGCACAAACTCTCGGATATGGCCGTTAACTAATGTCTTGAGCGACGTGCCACTCCGACCAGAAATGGCTTCGCACTCGTTCGCAAAATAGAGGTTGAGGGTGAAGTAGCGCAGGAACCAGTCCAAAGACAAGTGTGACGCCTGATCAGCTCGTACCTTGAGGACCTTGACAATTTTGTCCTGAGCCACATCGACAGCCTGACCGACAAGATTCGAAATGTCCATGGCTTTGTGTATTTCCTCTTGTATCTCAAAGGCTGACGTATCCAGTTGCGAGGAGTGCCTATCCGGGTTCGGGCTGGCCAGTGGCGATCGGATAGGGGGCGATTTGACGCCCGAGGTGCCGGAGCCTGACAAGGAGCTTGCTACGTCGAGTAAAACCTTGACCTGCGTGGTAAGTCTGCGAAGAGTCTCAGTAACACCAATGTAAATCGATTTGAGAAGATCCTCTGCATCCTTGGGGTCCAGCGCTCTCAGATTGCGCGCCAATATCGAAGACTTTTCTTTACTCGACAAATTCCGGCCGCCGCTCATGGTAGAAGCCGACATCATCGACTCGTTATCGTCATCATTAGAACTGGGCAACGGCTTTCTGATCAAGTTTCTTATCTCGCGTAGGATGGCCTCGCGATATGCACTTGTAGCGATGGCAATATGCTTTGCGCGATGCAATCCATCTAGGTTAGGTGGAATAGCGGCGCGCAGCTCGCTGGTTGATGTCAAGTATGTCGGCAACGCCGAAGGCTCTCGCGAGTGCGTTCCCCTGGCCCGCATTGATGAAGTGCCCCACCGTAGGAGCACATCCGCATGGCTCACGGTTTCGAGATGTCGCCGCAGATCGCCCAGAAGCACATTGGTGAACTTAGTCTCAAATGCTTTCCCGACGCGGAACCGCAAAGTATTGAGATCGTCGTTGACGCCCTGAAGCGCCGTGGCTCCCCTCAGGTCTCGCAAATGAATTGCCTGGAGCGCAGGCGCCTTTGTTGCTGCAAGGCCGTTCTCCTCACCGACTTCGCCGGCAATCAGCAGCTCCAGCGAGTCCATCCCTGTCAAGGCTTGCTCAACCTGTCCTTCGTCGACAAGATTCTCGCAATTGCCCACACCTTCGACAATATGTCGTAGCTGCACTACCGCGTCGTTCAGCTGCTGTATATTTTCACGGCGCCGCCTCTTTTGCACAATGCCCAGCCCAGTCTGTGGAATCTCTTTGTCTAAAGCCTCCAGTTCTTGTCGTAGCGTCTTGATCCTATCCACCGACTCGGCGGCTTCGGAGTGAAGCTCGCGCAGGGAACCCAAAGCTGTGAAGAAAGTTGTAGACGCAGTGGAAATGGAGCTGATCAGGTGCATCTCGATTGTGTCCATGTACCACGATAGCTTCTCTTGCAAGATGGCATTCGTGGCGAGAGCTTTCCGAGGCGCCGCGGCGTGGCCGTTACTGGCCCCTCTTTCATCTGTGCTTCCTGGCGCGGGGCGAACGACTTCAGATCGCTCACTGACAACGTCAAATGTTCGTGGGTTCTCAAGATGAAAGTCGTCATCAAAGTACACGTTGGGGATCGTCGACAGAGGCGGCGGCCCCTGGGTCCCTTTGCGACTCGCACCAGATGATCTTCGGAGGGAGCCCGGTGCGTCGAAGGATGTGATGGACGACAATGAGGCGATCGAGGATTTGCGAGCTGGATAGGGCGGTCGACTCCCAGGCCTCAGGTGACCTTCGTCCGTGGTCTCGAAGGCATCTTCATGTTTGCTTCCTCGTCGGCTAGCGCCTCCTTCTTCTTCTTGTTCTTTGACTCGCTTCAACTGCTCATACAATGCGCCGACTTGCGACAGGTACGGCTTGAACTCGGCGGGGTCGATTCGGGGGATATTTGTCAGGGTGACGGGAGGAATGTCGCGGGCGGTTGGTGCTCTGTGCGCACTTGAGGCAGGTGCCGACGTATGCGGTAGTAGGCCTGTTCGGACGATCGGTGGCTGTAGAAGGGTTGATATGGCTAGGTAAACGGTAAGCCTTGGAGGTGC